CCTCGTCGAGGCTATGCACAGACAGACACACTTAAATTTGGGCGTACTATCGCCGCAATTCTTTAAGTATTACAGCCCTGTAGAAGAATAGGAACACTGACCAGGGCACGTAGTTTAGTTCGTACAAATCATGGTGTAGCCGAATAGCTATTACCAAGCCCCCGCAAACCTCAATTGATGGCAAATGCGCGGCGTATCCCAAAAAAGATAGTCCTACCTGGATGGATTTTTTTCCGAAGAGGCACTCTAACTATTGCACAGTCTAAAAAAAGCTTCTGATACATATAATAATCTAACCAAAACCCCGAAGGTAAACATACAAGTTAAACTGATTACTTGGAATCCACTCAACGGAAAAGGGTTGGTGGTATCGATGAGAATGGTATCGGTTTCGAATAATGTTGCAAATTTTTAGGTCACATTCCAGCCTATAATTGAAACGTCACTTGTTGGAAATGGGACAACCAAATCTCGCTTGATCCAGAGCGGTCCATTCGATGAAATTACGAAGGAGCTGTCTGAACGGAACGAGGAAGATCAGCATGGCCTCCATATGGACAGTTAGTGCGTCTAACCCGTTTGTAGTGGTCAAGGTAGGTCAAAACCAGCGTTTAATCTCAGTAATGATGGCCTACAGTGACAGAAACGATTTCTCAGCACGTTGATTTGGTTACACCGTAAGCCACGTTGGCATTGGAGCGCGCTGTTGAGCACTGGGGCGCGCAGTTGTAGTGGAGCACTTGTTCCTTCCTTTCCTATAATAAGCGCTCATTCGAGTAGAGTTCGCCGCATACTCCGTGACTACCCTTAGGCAGTCCTCCAAAATTCAAACAGCGCCCACCGCTCGCACGGCCAGCATAAACGTCATGTGCAGGAAAAAAAGACAAGGGGCACGTGGAGTACAAGCCGATGGCTTCTGATCCAGCACTAACGTAGGTTACGGTGGGAATGATTCAATGTGCTGAGAAATCGCTATACTTGCCGTCAGCGCTTCAGTTGTTGCTGCTATCTGAGGCTATAATTGCACATTATATCGGTTCATTCCAGCTTGCATCATTGCTATCCGATACACCCGGGAAAGTTCTACCAAGTGAGGGTTTTTAGCTCATTCTGAAGTTTCTAGAGAGCGAATGATGAGTTTTTCAGAAGTTCTGGATGATAAGGAGGTTCTGCAACAATTGAAAGACGAAAACTTCGACGTCGCTATAACGGAACTTTTCGACTTCATTGGGATGGGTTAGTTACTCTTCTGCTTTCACCAAACTGCCCATTATTACCACCTGTTCTATTTAGAAGCTTACTAGACCATTGACAGTCAGAAGTTTCTTTCCAGACCCATCAGAAAGCGCAGATATATCCAGAGTGATTGAGCCAGGAACATTATGACGTTTTCAGGTGTTCTGGAGGCGATCGGTCTCAAGAACATTATCGGAGCTCATTCGGCTATAATGATGGAAGGCACATCGTTGGCTTTAGGTGTACCTCTGCTTCCGAGCTTCATACCAGGTAGGAGTGGCAATTTAGTGAGCACGTGAAGTTTCTACGCACATGCCTGATCGTGTTCCGCTAACATTGCCATGCTTCACTCAAGCTTTCTTGTAGGCTTAATCGTATAACTTCGTATAATGTATGCTATACGCTTAGGAGTACTCAAAACGTGACCTTCATTACTGCGCTTTCTCAGCGGGTTCATCACCCTGTCCTCCCGTCACATAGTGTTTTAGAGAAATTGCATTCACAGAATTAGATAGAAAATGCAAACAATAAGTATGGGGATCATCTCTTCATTCCACCATGGGACAGTAGCGTTTCCTGTGACGTAGTAACATTCAGGGCAGAGGTCGGGCTCTTATTTGGGTATTATGGTACATGAAACTGAGTAGAGATGCGATATTGAATGAAAGTAAAAAAAAAACGAAAAGAAACCACCAATGAGGCCGAAAATAGAACCCTCCCTCCAGCATCAGCGTAGTAGGGCGAGCATAGCATGAAGGCTTGTACGAACGAGTTTGCAGGATTGCCGGCTACTGCTGGCTTCGTGTAAGCAGATGATACGGCAAACAACCCATCTGATTTCATACCTGTGCCAGCCCTGCACCACCTTCCGCGGTAGGCTGTCATGGCTAACGCTGGGCGGTGGTAGCTAATAATACTTACCAGGACCTTATTTCCGCGCTGTTCCGGACTACGAACGTGGTGTCATCTCTGTGGGTGCGCACCCAGACATAGAGGTGATGAAAGGGATTGTTTTGATCTCCTGATTCCTACCTTTGCTTTTGAATGAAGACGTCTTCTACTTAGACGTTCAACTCTATGTTCACTAAATGTTGTATAACACAAAGAGGCACCAAAATTTTATTTCAAAAGAATTCCAAAAGTTCACAAAAATTTAAAATTCCAAAAACTCCAAAATTTCAAAAAGCAAAAAGCAATTTGAAAAAGAATCCTTTGAAATCCTCCGCGATATTTCGGTGTTTAACACCTTCTTCAGGCATGTGTTTGCCACAGCCAAATATAAAGCTGCCCTCAGGGGAGCCGCGCCGTTGGAGCAGAGTTAAAACTTTAGGTTCTAAAGAGGCTTCGGGACAGCACAGTTCTAAGAGATCTATGTTCACCTGTTGAGCTCAGGAGTTCCTGAGCAGTGTAAGAGGAGAATATTGTGGTTTGTTGGGTCACCGCCTTAAGGCACTCAAAAATCTATCAAACTGCTTGTTCGTAGCTACAGTTCAGAAATTCGGAAAATAAATCTGAATAGTCAGTCAAGCGCCATTTATTATTTATTAATTAAATGCTGATTACATGTACTCAGTTGTTATCTACTACTCCTATATGCTAAGAAGAATAATTTATTATATTTCTAAAATCATGCGCTAGCAGTAAAGACTTTCGACTGTCTACGCATAAGCAAATGATGTTATGCATCGGGCGATCGCACCGCTAGGATATGGAAATTAATTTCTTAGTCACCCTCTTGACTTCCTTCCCATTACCATCAGCATTCGATGTTCCTTTTAGAGGGATTCTGCAGAATTTTCTCCCTGTGTTTTCCAGCGTTCTTTGGTGTCACGAATGACTCGAGCGATTTCTGGACACGTGCGACGAACCTTTTGTTTACGTGTGTCTCATGGTATTTCCAGACAAGCACAGCTAACGTTGCAAATCAAGTGATGAAGCGAAGCTTGGACCGAATGCCACTCCAATTTGGGTGAGTTGTAAATAATGGTTTTCCTGAACCGTTTCGTAACACCATGGATCATTTTCTAACAACTTAATGACAGCGGTTACGATAAAGAGAGAGCACATCGGGGGAAGCATATGCACCACACGAATCAGTTAGCTGCCAGGAAGCGAGGTGTAGCGCTTTCACGACGAAAGGTGCGCTGGTTGCTGAGCAGGACTTCGAAAGCACTCCGCCCCAAAAGCGATCCGCCCACTAGTTTAGTTGGTGATTTGGACGAGCTGCGTTGCCAGCAGCGGCACAACTGGAGCAACTCGATTGGAGCGTGGTTTGGCATGGTGCCACCAAACGCGTTGCGGTGAACTCGTTCATACGTCCGCTTTCTGAGCTGTTACCTGTTCATGAGTGAAAACCAACGGCCAAAAAAGGGGGTCCCGTTTTGCGGGTTTCTCTACTTTTTCGCCACTGGCGTACCACTGAGCACCACCACGTCTCCTCTAGACCCTTCTTGAACCTATCGTACCCGCTGCCTTTAAGAACATCTTCACTTGTCTCTCAGGTAAAAGATTATAGCTAAAAATGTGCAGTCTTAATGCAGAGCTTGTGAAGGCATTTAATCGTTTTAGCCGGTTTTTATTTCACCATTGGAAATCGTGGTTTTCTATTGCTGTTACTTTATGACTCTTCTAATTTGGAAGAACTATCCACCAAACACTGAAAGTTCGTCGCGGCACTTTGATGCGATTCTGACTCAAACATATACCTATGGAGCCACCGCTAACTGTCGAGTACATGTTTTTTCTTCCCAAACGAGTCAGTTCTAATCGACATCGAAGTGCTGGAAGGTTTGGTTGGCCTGCCGAGACACGATCAGAGATTTGACCCTTAGACACGCGCGTGAGGCACGAGCCACTACTATAAAATAAAAAAAAACCCAGTGTTGATTGACCACAGCGTGAAGGAAGACCGAAACTCTTATAGGACATGGTGTCGAATATGTCCTGGGTGCTGGTTAATTCTGAACCCCTAATGGAGTTCGAGAAACCCACGCTTAACAAAGTTGTCGACATTGGAGGGCTTGGAGTGCACAAGCACGAAAACCAGACTATGTATGGTTGGTTTTGTCCCGAATGGATCTCGTCGAAGGTTTAAGTTCTACAAATATGAGAACAACGAATGGTTTTTGTAGGAATGGGATCGTATTCTGAACCTAAGAGAGCACACTGTTCTCATCTCGTTCGGCAGCGTGCGAAAAGCAAGTTTATGCCTGAATCAATGAAGAGGGCCATCATGCACGTCATTAATTCGTAATTGTAATGAGAGTGTCTCAACCAAGCAACCCTTAACTCTTGTTACCACCATGTTCACCACCTTCGTCGTCCTAATAGATCAACCGAGGTAACTGACATTTTTACTCCCACTGACTAGTTCCATCCATCTACCCCTGACTTCAGCATCCGCCCACCAGAAATGTCATCGACAAGTAGCAAGTAGTATGGTAATTTTTACTCGAAAAGACATCATACAGAAATGCAGTCGAGCAACGTCGCCCACACGATCAAAGCTGGGGTTTTGTGCACAAAGAAAATGAAAACAAATTGGTGCAAATGGTAGGAAGCAAAGAAAGAATGGAGAGGGATCTCCGAAAATGCTGCAGTTTAAAGATTGGCATTGTTTGTCTGAAGCAAAGAAAGATTTGAGGCGGGAAGAGGGAAAGATTAGGGACCATTTGGATTGCTTACAGCAGTGCAGCAGAGGGCTGCGAATAAGAAATGGGAAGCGTAATAGCAGCGTCTTCAGAGAGATCCCCTGGCCTGCCCTTTACAAGGAGCGTAAACATGCGTCATGTATCCACGAATGTTTTAGCTTCCCAAATGTGACTTTCATCTGGAAATACGAGGAACCAGACGACGCCATCTTGAGAGGAGTAGACAATCTTATCCCTTCGAAATGGACGCCACAGAGCTGTTTATTAGGTAAGGATTGAATACATGCAACTCCTATGGGTGGGTAGCACGTATATTGCAATGGACGTATTGCCAATTCGGCGAATCATCAATAAGATGTAAATTATTATTGGGGAACTCGAAAGTTCGTGCTCCCTCAAAACATTCTTTGAGTCACCATTATTTCAAAAAAGGAAGGCCTATCAGCAATATGTCGAGCATCGCTGTCAGTGACTCATTGCCAGCGACTCACTGAAGAGCCATGTTCCCAGAAGATCAAAGGCTCTGGGCTGAAAAAGGTAGCGATGTAGGTTTTATAACTTCTCTTCGGATAGTGTTTTTGTCCGCAAGATGACAGTAGGCGGACGATTCTCAGTCGGAAGGACTAGAATCCTAAGTAGACAGTAATCTTGAGGAGACTGTTCAGCCCTTGATGAATGTGGTAGAGCTTCTCAACTAAGCTTTAGAATCTCGAGTGTGCAATCTTTGAAACATAAGGTCGCGACCGTTGTGAAGCAGAAATACGTACTTTTCTAGTTGTAGGAACAGTTTTTACTGTTTCCCCATAAGTCCTGGCCGTTGATCACAGCTGTGTTTGGTAGCTTCAGTGCGAGAGGGATGGTGTACATGATAGTTTACCCGCGGACACGCCACCAGACGGAGAGCATACCCCTTTAGTGAACTTGTTAACATTTTATCAGCGGTAATGACGTTGTTCTGCCAATTCATACGAGGACAATGAGAAATGTCGAAGTCTGTGCTCGTCTTCAACTTTTCTCACAATCCCCGTATGAACTGGCTCCTGTCATCACTTGTTAAATCAATGAGATTATTTGGCCATGCTTCAACACTTCTCCGTGGAAGCGAAGACCTGTATGAGCTGTTGAGAGAGAAAGCAACTGGCCAAATTCCACACAGACGCCTTCCTGAACAAGGGTTTTCTTCCAATCCGTAGTTTCCTGCGCGAAGCTCATTTGACCATTTTGATACCGCATAGGACGACCAGAAGATTCATTTAGAGTAAATATCACCACTGGCTTCAATGGGTTTGCGGCGCAGATGAATTTCGTAAAGAAACCATAAAAAATATCCCTCTCCTCTTATGTCATTTTGAAATCGAAGAGTACGTCTTGGTCGGGCACCTTGCAGGTCACTTGCGCTCTTTGAAGCCGAGATTTTGTGTTAGGTGCATCTTCACGATGTATGCCGGCCAACATTTTGTTGATTCGATGGAACATCAACAGAAGATCCACCAAGAGCTTAAGAGAACAAAAGAGCCCCCCTCATCTCCGCATACAATCATTTGATACTAATCTTCATAAGCTCCGCCTATCGTGAGCTTCCTCACTGCAGTGTTCGCGTTCAGAATCGCCAAGTAAACTGTAGGTGCGAAATCAAGAAAAATGGCATGAACTTTCGGGGAATTCTAAATAGATTATCAGAAGTTGTAACTTGGTTTTTGGTTATATCTCAGTGCTTTCACTGGGAACCATTCCTAAACTCTGAAGGCTTGCAACGAGTGTAGCTCTGATTTTCAGCCGACAAACGTCTAAAACTTTTTATCACACACGGCGGAGCTGGTAGTATGATGGAGAGTGCTCAGCAAGCAAAACCGCTTATTGTCGTTCCTTTGTTCGGCGATCAAACAAGAAATGCGAAGCTCATTGAGAAATTTGGCTTTGGTGAGTTGACTAATGGAATGTGTTCCGCCAGTTATCGTGTCTACCTTCTGTTGCGTCTGTTGCACCTTCACCAGGAGCTCATTTCCGACGGGGAGGGGGTCTACCACTTTGAAGAGGTAGTCGTAAGGCTGTGAAGTAATTATTTTGTAAGGAATAGTCATTTGCAACAACTCATTAGGCTGATAACACAAGGCTGGAGCATCGAGGATTGAGGGGTGTACAAATCGTTGGAACGGCAGAATTGGTAAAGTTTTTAGAATTTATCTGAATCTCGTCAAAAGTATTTAAAGTCTTTGGAGTACTTTCCCTCTCCTCGCATTCTCACGTTATCAAGAAATAGGACTCGCTCCACAGAATAAAAAAAATGCGAGATTCCTTGTTTGAAGACGGCTGGCTTTGACATGCTTTCTCTGGTGAATTCCTAATCGCAACCTCTGCTTTTACCGGAAAGCGTTCCAGCACGCTTTTTAAAGGTTTTTTTCGCATGTTATGGTGCTACGCCATCAAAAAAGCTGACCATCAATTTTACCGGCTCTGGTGTCGTTAAGGTAAGCGATTACGATAAAGAGGGAGCGCATCAGGGAAGCATATGCACCACACGAATCAGTTACTTGGCTGCCAAGGAAGCGATGTGGCGCTTTCACGACGAAAGGTGCGCTGGTTGCTGAGCAGGACTTCGAAAGCACTCCGCCCCAAAAGCGATCCGCCCACTAGTTTACTTGGTGATTTGGACGAGCTGCGTTGCCAGCAGCGGCACAACTGGAGCAACTCGATTAAGCGTGGTTTGGCATGGTGCCACCAAACGCGTTGCGATGAACTCGTTCATACGTCCGCTTTCTGAGCTGTTACCTGTTCATGAGTGAAAACCAACGGCCAAAAAAGGGGGTCCCGTTTTGCGTTTTCTCGACGGACGTTTTCTCTTTCTTGTTTTCTTCCTCTGCTTTTTTCGCCACTGGCGTAGCGTAGGCTGAGCACCACCACGTCTCTGTGAACCCTTTTTAAAACTATCGTAATCACTGCCTTCAAAGTATGTGCACAACAAATACATTAAGGTATCCTTTTGGAAAAAGGCCGCCTTACTGACAGCAACGTGTTACGCGAGGCAATCGAACAAATTCTCACCGATTCTAAGTAAGTGATAGTGTTTTCATAAGTGTTAGCGTGCTTCTACGCTGCTGCTGGCGTTCACCCGTCAGTACTGTCATATTGTCGTGTAGCGCAAAAGTCACATTCCAGATACCAAACAGCAGCCAATCGAATTAGCCGGCTGCTGTCACGACGTCCATTTAGTCCTGAAGAGAAACTGGTGAAAACCGTGGAGCTCGCCGCCGAATTCGGAGATTTACCGGAGCTGAAAGTAGCCGGAAGAGATCTTGGATATGTTGCTTATTATAATCTTGATCTACTATTTATTTTAGCAGCGATTTTCGCCGCAATTATAAGTCTAATGATATATGTTTTATTGAGGATATCTATGCGCTATTTCGTGACAGTAAAAGTGAAGGTTCATTGAAAGAATTTGTTGTAAATAGATATTTTGTTATTTTTGCATTCACTAAATACTGGTAACTACTTTTTGTGATTTTCTTCTTAATCTCAATTGCAGTACGTTAAAATTGACATGCTTGTACCTGCCAATTCAAATAAAGGATAAAGGATAAAGCATTTGCCGTTGATCAATCCCTTTTTGGGATGCGGCACGCATTCTACTTCCATTTGTACATTCGTAGTGGCGTTTGAATGCGATGTGGCCTATACAATGACTTGCGGGGGCCAGCCGATGTACAAGTCAGTGTTTTTTATCCTCCCAGACAAGTCTGGTACCAATTAACCGACCCCGGAGGGA